ATTTTACTTGCTTATTTAAATGTGGTATGGTGTGCCCTTATGAGCGGCTTTCCTTAAAACTCTAGACTCCCTACTGACTTTTTCACCCCCATTCACCCGTGTGCTGGGAATGTTGATCAGAGTCTGCCATATTGTTACGCAGTACTCCTTCCTTAGGTCTTATCAGAGTCTCCCTCTTGCTCCGTAGGATCAGTCTGCTCACTCCCTGGTTCAAGTAATTCACTCGACCCCTGCCACCCCATCTGTGCTACTCGAAGAGTTATTTCCCACACTGCCTTTTGGAGACTAGCTTGAGGGTAAAGCCCCTGAGTAATTCGCATGGTCGAGCTTCATGGACCACGTTCAACATTGAAAATGAACTCGGACTAATTTTATCTAGAATAAATTTTAAATGCTATTTCTAAAAGACTGCCTTTCCATTTTACGCAAAATATCATCTTCACTATTGAACACATGCTTTTCTTACTAATTTGTTGGCAAAGCAAGCAGTAATACAACATATGTGGGTCGGCACACAAGAGACTAGGCCATAGGAAGTTATATATTTGGTATTGGGGATAGAAACAGGATAGACACAATTAGATGAGTAGGCCTCAAGTCTCCATTCAATCTTGCATAGCCTTGCTTCCTGGATAAGAGTTCCTTTTTAGGTGCAAGGCCATATACAATTTATTGGAGACATGCGGCATATCCATATCGTTATGGAACTATTCAATCATCACTCCTTCATCACCTTGTGAGACCTAGGGAGACTATGAATCTTATCCTGTATGTTATTTTTCACACTGTTTCTTTTGCAAATAAGAATATATGTCAAGGCAGCACAGCTTTTTATATTAGGACCTATATCTAACATTATCTTGATACAAAACAAGTGTGTATAGTTAGCTAAACGTTTCAATTATTTTTGCGTTCTATTTTCACCTTCTCGTTATGCTATACAGGACTATTCCAATTCGTACGATTTCTTTATGCGTGGAGAAGAGATAATGTCTGGAGCTCAGCGGATTCACGACGCGGATATGCTGACTGAGCGAGCTAAATTCCTTGGTGTTGGTAGGGCTTTATTATCATCCTTTTTTTTAATTAATTACATTTAATCAACTTTGTGTTTTGTGCTCTGCTGAGCACGAATCCTACAAATACTGTTAAACTTAAATGCCCAGACTAAACATTTTGCATTTTCTCATTTTCTTGCATGCAATGCTCATTAGTTCTCAAGTTATCTATTCGTTGTTTTCTATTTGGTGGATCACGAGCAGCACTTTATATTCTTAGATTTTTCATTCACAGTAAGCTATAAATCTACTTGCAAATACGGGCGTGACCAGTTAAGGCGGAACCTGGATGTGTAAGCCTGAGTTTATTATCAAGCAAAAGTTACTATTTACTGCTAACTGAATATCTAGTTAGAAAAATTGTGCTTTTTGATTAATTAGGCTCTGATTCTATTCTTTATACTTATATTTTGTCACGTTTATAGATATTGAAAAAATTAAATCTTACATCGACGCCTTTCGTTATGGCTGTCCGCCCCATGCAGGAGGAGGAATTGGTGAGTTAATGCAATAAAACCTTTTGTTTGATTATGCTAATCCGGTTTTATATATAGATAGGATGCACTAAAACAATGTCCTTATGGGGTCTTCTTGTCATTAAACTCGGTTTTTTTCTTGAATCTCAATACCTT